TTAATTTATAATGCACCCCATACCTATCCTGTGGGCAGTAGTGGGAATGATTACAGAAGCACAGCTTATACATTAATCTCACATATGTCAATTTCTGTGAGATTATTTACACATTTAGTATCTACTAGAAACGAAATATGGACACAGTGCAAGGGTTGCAAATGTTTTATCATTTGTAAATCCACGTCCGTAATAGACGATGGGGGAAACGGTTTGGGCAAGGTTACGTATTGACGGTATTGACCAATGTTAGAAAGCTGCAGAAACATGCAAGCCATAGATCACTAAGAACTCTAATTGACACGACCAGGTTTCGAACCCATGTCGTCGAAGATCACCCCTAAACGTACACTGTACCGTGACCACAGCACCAATAATCGTCGAATACTGTTAACTCGTGGATATTTAATGGAATGCCGCCCCTTACTGTCCGAATTACACTGTCTCAGTTTGATTTCAAATCGAGATATGCACCTCCTTGTGGAATGTCCCGATTTCCAAGTCAATCCTGGAATTGTCTTGCTTACTTAATGTTCCCTGAAAAAATCCTTGGTGAATCTGATACCTTTGATATCCCTTGCCTTATGTGTTTTTGTTTTCATATTGACATCCTCAGTGATATTGGCCGCCTTTTGAATATCCAGCAACACTGATGGTTCTGTATAATCTCCCCTGCTTTGTGCCTTCTGTTGGTGATAGCCTACTTGTAATAAAATGGTCTGGCATTTCATACAGCGTGAACTTAAATTTATCCCTGGCTCAAAATGTTCTCAGTGTATGATGCAATGCTGCAGGGTGTCCGTGTGTTAATTGCCACACTTTACACTACATCGTACAGGACATAATCCTGCTTGCAAAAGCAGGTGAGTGTCTGTATGAAGGAAACCAGTGACTATGGGCTTGTGCCGGGCTGCGCGCGCACTCACTACGGGCACTTCAGAGGTCAGTCACTGGTCCTTAATCTAACAGATAAGTTTATAACGAGGCACACGGTAGAAAAATATGAGTCCAACATAATAACTACAATATAAATTGATGGAAATGGTGAAGTTGTATGTCTTAGGTCCCTGGACCTTAAGGTACAGTCCCGTTCATTCCTGACTCACAGAGTTACGGGTTCGAATCCCGAGCGGGACAGAAATAGTTGGGCGCATTTCCTATCACCTAATACTCCTGTTCACCTAGCAGTAAGTAGATACCTAGCAGTTAGTCAGCTTCTTGTGGAGTTGCATCCTGGGCGGGGTCAGCATTTCGACCTGGGGGGGGGAAGTACTTGACATAAGCCTAATGTGTATGAATACACTCTGGCTGCCTGTCTGGCTGACATATTTATTATTAATTATTAAGTACAAATAATGGGGGAGTGAGTAGCACAAGAAAAGAGCATCAGGGCAAATGGGGGACCTTTGACAAGCCGCTGGCTTCCTGTCTTCGTCGAGGCCACTGGTATTAGTGGTCCCCAGGTAAATTCAGGTAACTACAGTGTGAGTTTGAAACACAAGGTAGGGAACGATGAGGATGAAATTAGTTACTTTTTGGTCTTACTTTTGAATAAGGCATAAGTTGGACAATTTGTTCATTCATCTGCGAGTGAGTTCCACAGACTCGGTCCTTTTATATGCATGGAAGGGGAAGGGAACTATCAGGGGGAAAGGGCCAAGTCATTACGACTATATAGCACTGGGAAGGGGTCAGGATAAGGATTTTGGGATGGGACGGGGGAGGGAGGGAAAGAGTGGTGCCCAACCACTTGGACTGTCGGGAATTGAACGCCGACCTGCATGAAGCGAGACCGTCGCTCTACCGTCCAGCCCAAGTGGTTGAGCGTTATATGCATGGAGTGTTTAAACAGATTTAGTTTGACTGCGCTGACCTATATAGCCTGCATAATGAATGACCCAAACTAGAGATCAAATATCGATGTGCTTTCTTCTATAAAATATACTGAAAAACGCTGTGCAGGATTTGTTCAGTGTTATTTTTGTTATTTGCAAACAAATATTGCAAATATTTTTTAAATATTTGTTTGCTTATTTATTTAGTCTGCCTTAATAGTAAGGTGCTCTGTGAATGTTGAGGCAGCGGAGAGTAAGCGACCTCCTCGGTAAACATTGTGATCATTTTCTCCTCCCAGACTGACTGGCTGCCGGTAATTACAAGGTCACGGCTTTGAGCCACTTATAATCTTAATTCACAAACACTCTGCATTCTCTCGTCTCGTGTGTAACAACTAAATTATTAAAAGAAGCTTTAAGGTCTCTGTCAATGCTTGTCTTGTATCCTTTTTCATTTTTTTTTTACAGGAGCATTATTTCCATCTTTTTTCATGTCATCATTACGGTATATTATAATCACATCTCTCCATTAGTTTGTATTGTGTATACTGTATCATTCTGGTGATATAGGTTAGTGCACTTAGGATAAACTAAGGGAGAATTTTACTTTCATGAGTATGAGTATCCTTACATATCCTAAGAATTTTGGATGAATTGGAATCTAGCTATTCCAGTGGGCCTAATTCCAATGTACTTTATCACCAAATCTTTATGACAGGTAAACTAAATGATTAATTGTTCACATGATTCTCCATTTTGGAAAACCCCTGCACTGCACACCTGTTTTTGGCAAAAACTTCACAGTGCAATTGTTAATGACATATTTTTGTTGCTTTTATAAATGTTCAGGTAAAGTTAATGTCAAAATGTTTCCAAACTCAACTATTTTCATTTTAAAACACAAAGAGTGATGAAAACATTAAAAAAAATCAAATATAGCCTAATTAAAAAAAAAACGGACAACTCTCAAAACAGCATTTGTCGTTTGGTGCAGTGCAGTGGTTAAGATGGGTCGGTCTCCAACAGTGCATGCAATAGCAACCTGTAGCGCAGTAGTAAGTGCAGTTGGCTGACAACTGACTGGGTTGGGTTAGATTCCCAGGCAATGCAAGATGTGTGGGCACTTTTCTTTACATGCCTATGTTCACCTAGCAGGCTTCCTGTCCTTGACAGTGGGAATCCAAGTTACCCTATTTTTAACTTGCTCCTTAGTGGTAGCCACACTTTTCAGAATAATTTACTTATCTTCAGTTATGTTGGTCAGTAAACATAAAGTAAAGAGTGATGTGGAAATGGGGTGACACATCTTGTACTTCCTCCGTAACATCAGATTATCTTTCTTTCACATTAAAATTTAACATGCAGCTCAATTCAATAACTCAATTTATGTACAAATAATTGACAAAAATAGTGATTACTGTATTTAGGCCACCAACGTAATATGAAAGCTTATACAGTACTGCAAATAAACTTGTTTCTGGTAAAGCTCACAGGTAGTACTGTATTTCACAACCTACTCCTTTGCTACAACTCTGTTCTAGACTGCCCTCCAGGCATAGCTTCAAACATTGGTGACAAAGATAGAATTGCATTTAACAATAACAGCAGGTCCTTGGTACCATGCAATTACTGTACCTTGTGATGCTTTTGAGGCTCAACGTCCCCGCGGCCCAACCCTCGACCAGGCCTCCTCATTGCTGGATTGATCAACCAAGCTGTTGGATGCTGCTGCTCACAGCCTAACGTATCAATCACAGCCTGATTGATCAGGTATGATCCAATCATACCCGAGTTGGTACGCGATAACCTCATACAAACAGGATGCCTGACAGCTGAGTGGACAGCGCTTCAGATTTGTAGTCCTGAGGTTTTGGGTTCGATCCCTGGTGGAGGCGGAGACAAATGGGCAAAATGTTTCTTTCACCGTGATGCCCCTGTTACCTAGCAGTAAATAGGTACCTGGGAGTTAGACAGCTGCTACGGGCTGCTTCCTGGGGGTGTGTAATAAAAAGGAGGCCTGGTCGAGGACCGGGCCGCAGGGACGCTAAGCCCCGAAATCATCTCGAGATAACCTCAAGAAGATACAGTAAGCAATTACAAAATGATAGCAGAATTTTTTACACAGGTCTTAGTTAAATCAATTGTATCCATATAGATGTATTATAGCCATATATACATCAAGTTGGTATAAAAATTGGACAAAAATAACAATATTCAACAAATGATGATGATGACCACGTGTTCGGTTAAATACATTAAGATTTCTAAGAATGACAACTATTTAGTAATATGAAAATGTAATACAATATCTGTATTTAAATAATGTAAAGCACCACCATTGTGTTTAAGATTGGTTCTTATTACTGGCGTAGCAGTTGGGTAGGAGGGATTTACTTCTTTTTTGGGGGGTTGGATGGGGGGGAGAGAAAAACAGTACAAATTTTGTTTTCATAGCTTTTTAAATGAAGTCTAGTTTGTTTTGATGTCACAGCACAGTTACCACTACATTATTGCCACCAGGATGATATTTAAAAATCTTAATAAATACTTTCAAGATGATTTTACATAGTCTATGTGAGACCAATACTAAAACAAACAGCACTGGCATAGTACAGTATTTACATCTCATGAAGCACAAAAAGAAACGTGAAAAGTACAGAGGTTTGCAATATGACTAGTACCTGAATTGAGAGAACGTAGCTACTGTATAACGATAGGTTAAAGGAACTTGGTTTCATAACTCTAGAAGAGAAAAGGAACTTAGGGAATATAATTACTACATACAAAATATTGAAGTTAATAGACAAAGTGTACAAGGACAGCACAGCCTCCTTAAATTGAGAGAAAATTTGACAAGAGGACAATGGTTAAAACTGGAAACACAAATGAATCAAAGAAATTTTAGAAAATGCTCCAGACTCGACTTCAGTAGTAGATACAATACAGAACTTGAATGTAAAGACATTTAAAATATACACCAGGCACAAAACACTGCTTTGGGACATACAGAATTACATTTCAATTCCCTGTAGTCACAGACAGGTGAGCACCAATGCAACCACCAGCACGACAACTACTTCGACCACATAAGTACAGTATAGCATTTTAGTAATCCCTGTACAGTACTGTGTAGTCATTATCCCAATAAATATTTCTTGTTTTCAGGGTCTGTCCAAGAAAACCACAAGTCACTATGTCCGAAGAAGAGCAGCAAGCAAAGAAGGTGACTGAGGAAGTACCTGACCCAGAGCTTGATAATTTGTTGAATGGTTAGTGTTGCTATAGTTTTACACACACAATTGTTATTTGTTCATTGATATATAAAGATAATCTGATTTCTATGTGTAATGAAAGGGAGGGGGCGTCAGAGGTAGAACTACTGGACGACGTAGCCCGAGTGCATGGGCGAATTGTGTGGAACCCTGGTTCGGCTTCAGTGGAACCCTTGGAAATCTTAGTGGGTGCAGTTATACCCCAGGTTGCAATTATTTTACTATGTTGTGGCATAGTTGACTAAAGCATGCCTGGGAACATCCAGTACATAGGTACGAACCTTCATCATGGCTCCTGTGAGTTTGTTCATTGCTACAGTTTTCTCCACTAACCAGAGAACACTGCAGTATTAGACTGACGTACTGTTTATATTATGGCAATGTTTTTTTCATTTTTTGAGGGGAAGTTTATTGCATTTCTAATTTCTTTTATCTCCTATTTCTGTGGGGAGCTGCTATAGCTCCCTGGAGCTATCGGGCTAATATGTGATACATTAGACTGGGGTATTAGTCAATAGAGTTTAGCCTACCGGGGACCACAAGCCAGAACCTGGCCCCCCTCAGAGAAGTGCAGGGAGCAGTGGCCTTGGAATATCTCTATTCCAGAGATATAGAAGATATCTCTACCGTATCTTGTTCTTATTTTTCTGGTGTCCCTCTAAGATTTCTTGTTATAATGGATGTTATCTATGACACTCTTGTAAATGGAGTATTATTTCATTATGCATCTCCAGCCAAGTTTTACATTTACTGTAGTTGATGAGAAAATTTTGAAAACAATTTATTGTTTTCTTACCTGTTGAGCATAAGAGATTGCACTGAGTGTAGTGGCCCATGTGACACAGCTTCAGTTTACAGTATATCCAACTTCACCCACTCATATGTGCCTTAACCTTTGCTTCAAACAATTCCAGTGACCCCACATAAATTGTTGCCTTACAACCTGTAATATGAAAAAATCTACAATTTTATTATCAAACCAATTTTTAACCAGTTCTTTTCTAAATATTTATAAATTTGTTACATTGATGCATACTTCAAGGAAATTCTAATTAGTGTTGTATTTAATAGATGCTTTACAAGACTTCAATAAGCCTCAACCCATCAAACCAGTGCCAGGTGCAGACTTGGCATCAAAAGTAGCAGCTTTGGGAATACAGGCAGCTACATCAACTGGATCAGATGGGGCAGCTGGCGATGTTTGGACGGAGGAATTCATTCAGCAGGCCACAGCACAGTTTGAGCAGACAATGCGGTCATTAATGGAAAAACAACAAGGAAGTGAGCAATGATTTTTTTTGTCCTTTTGCTGCTTCTCAAACTTTTTATCTCCATCTCACTTGTTTAATTCACACACACACACACACACTCACAATGACTGCTAATCTTCTTGATGATCATCTTAGACCCTTAAATTGACACTAATACAGTATACACTCTTTACCAGTAATTTTGTTCAACATGACCAAACGAGGACCCTCTCCTCAGTCTTATGATTTACGAACTTTTGCACGCCATATCTTTTCATGACACAACACAAGTTTTTAATTTTGTCCACTTCTACTGAATTCAAAATATTTTTGTATTACTATTTATTGTTATGCATTGCAATTTATCCAGGTGGACAAGCAGATAAACCTGGTGGAGAAGCTCCTAAGGAAGGTTCACATGAAGAACTGCCACAAATTGATCTGTCTGCCATGTCAGCACAGTTTGCCCAGTTTGCTGAAGCTGCTAGCAAATCATCATCTGGGGCCCAGCCTGCTGCTGACTTCATGCAGTGTATTGATGAAACAATGAAGCAACTTGGCCAAAATAATGAACAACTTCAGGTATTTTACTTTATTGTTAAGAACCTTATTTTGGTAATCAGCAATATAAGTATGAACAATTTTAACTAATTTTTTTGTCTCTTCCTGCCTCATTCACTTCAGCATTCATTTCAGAGTTCTTTTCACTGATGCTGTCAGTGAACCATATATTAACCGACAGTTGCCTTGTTATCTTGAGTTTTCGGGTACAGTACCTCTTTTGGGGAGATTCGTTTCACATTGGTCCTGTTTTGAGTAGTGTTTGGGCATTTGTTGCCGTTGTGAAACATGACAGTATTTAGTATGTCTTGGTTTTTTAAATAAGTAATTATCAGAAGAAGGCACCAAGCCGGGAAGACAATGTTGCATGGTAGTCAGAGCCTATAGTTGAGTTGGTGTTTGAGAGTTGCATTAAGCTATTTCATTCTTTCTGTAGCTTTATTAGCTCTTTCTCATCCCTTAGCTAGGTTTTGGCATCATATTTGCCTGTTGACTTGTGTGTTATGCACAGTTCAGTATTTGTGCTTCTATGATGCTTCTTGTGCCTACCAATTTGTTGTCAACTACCATTTTAAGCTGTCATTGCAATCAATCATAGCTACCTATGTGCTTTAATATACTGTACCTATAATTTTCTCTCATCTTTTTTTTTTTTTTTCATTCCATGTAATCTGTTATCATTTTTTTGTCTATAAATTTTGCAAGTATTTACCTCCTTAAAATTTTCTTAGATTAAGGACCTGCCCGAAACGCTGCGCGTGCTAGTGGCTTTACAAGACTGTAATTACCATAATTGTATCCTCACATTCCTTATGTACATTCTTGTATATGCATAAATAAATAAATAAATAAATGATGAATGGTGCACAACAAATTACCCCATCTAGTCCAGAGCCAGGCTTTGCTGCTTGCAGTTTTCCAGGATGTTAATGAGTATTTTTGGATGGTGGTAGCCATTTTTAGTTACCATCATCATTCCACCTGTTTGGTTCAGGGACTTTTTAACCCTGAGGTGTGTGTGATATTTCATTGCTAGACATCTGTGCTGGTCAAACCTCTCTCTTGAGTAGGAGCTTGTTTACGAGCCCTCATCTCATGCTTCAGGCTTTTACGGCCCTCGACTATCACTGGTGTGAAGGTGGAAAGTTCCTCTCTATTTTATGAAGAGTAATTTGAGGCCCTGGTATGGGATGCTTTAGCTAAATCCAGGCCAAGGCCCAGAATGAGCAGTACTGCCAGAGCATCCCTCTAGGAAATGATAGTGTAGGGCATGAGTTGGCTCCCTCAATATCTAGATAAAAAAAGACTTGGGGGAGAGAAAAAGTGACATAGGAAGAATGGTGGAGCAAGACACTGGAGGCATGCTTGCTAAGCCACCCCATAAACCTGACACGATCTGGCACAACTCCACCAGTGAAGAATGACAGAACCTGGAAGAGTGTTTTATGGACAACCTCAGGTGTAGGAGGACAGAGACGGGAGATAAGGATGGGCCAGGAACCAAATATGAGCTCGTGATGAAGATGATTGAAAATTCATTAACGTTGACGCAATTGACAAGCATCCTGATGAGAAAACACAAAATGGCTCTTGTTGGTGGTAGATGAGATGAAAAGTGTCCAATGCATAAGCATCATGAATGTGGAGCAGATCATGCAGGTCGGCGTTCAATCCCCAACTGTCCAAGTGGTTGGGCACCATTCCTACCCCCCCTCCCCCGTCTCATCCCAAATCCTTATCCTGATCCCTTCCCAGTGCTATATAGTCGTAATGGCTTGGCACTTTCCCTTGTTTTTAAATTAAATTTCAAATTTAACATTGGATTAGCTCAAAGTAACAATAATATCCTACAAGAAGATGTGTTCATGCTGTCATGCAACAACTGAGAGAGCAACCTTTTCCTGCATCTCTGTATAACATTTAAGCCTAAAAATGTATCATAGTAATCATTGCTTCCTTGCCACTATGTAAAATTAACGACTTTTGTGATTTTGATGGTGAGGTCTATCCTTTATTGGTTCCATTGATATGTAATCATTACATGATAATAATGCAAATAGTCTTTTGATGTTAATAAAAAATGATGTAATAGTCTTTTGATTGTTAATTATTCATAACATTTCCAAATTGTGTATCTGTATCATTATTTAATTAAAATTTCTTTCAGAATTCTCCAACAGCATCAGATCTCAATAAAATGTTTGAAAACCTTGGCTTAGCAGGAGGTGAAGAGGCTGAGGGTGCACTGGGCGGCCTCTTCCCACTGATGCAAGTCATGCTCGAAAACATCCTCTCGAAAGAAGTTTTGTATTCACCTATGAAGGAAATTGTTGACAAGGTCAGGAATGTTTGGATTGTTTAAAAATATTTATATCCCACTTTTACAGAGCTTTACATAACTTGCAATATTACATAGTCTTGGTAGTGCTGTTGGCTTTGTTCTCGACTCACAATTTGAAATCCCGGGTTCAAATCCTGGGCAGGACAGAGATGGATGGGCACGCTTGCTATCACCTAATGCCTCTGTTCACCTAGCAGTAAATAGGTACCCGGGAGTTAGTTGCGGAGTTGCATCCTGGGAGGGTCAGTAGTTCGACCTTGGGGAAGGGGGGTCCTCAATATAAGCTCATGTGTATATGTATATACAGGCTGCCTGTCCACGACAAAATTACAGTTACTGTATTATTATTATTATTAGCCACAACTATGGCATGTCTTTATACTGTTGAACAAAGGTCCCTTATATTGTGTGTATATATATATATATATCAACCTGTCCTCAGGGAGGAGATCCCCTCAAAGGAATGGATTGGGGATGACTACATAATTTATGCTATTATCTACTCGCTATCCATGGTTAGGTTAGGTTAAGGTTTGGTTAGATTAGATTGCATTATGTTTGGTTAAGTTAATATGATGTATTATTAATGATAATGTGAAATATGGAATTCAAAAACTATTTCAGCCTGCACGTAAATTCTGCTCACAGAAAACCAAATTCTTCAAAGAAAACGTTTTCAGCATACACCTTTTCTGTGGGGAAGCCCCGTTGGCTCCCTGGAGCTATTGGACTGATATTAGCTAATATAAGTATGGGGCTTCAGTCATATGGAGTTGTCATGCCTACCGGGGACCACTAGCCAGAACATGGTCCCCCTTAGAGAGGCACAGGGAGCAATGGCCTATGAAACTTATGTATGAAAGTATTCATGTCTGCCATCGACCAGGGTTGAGCACCCAGAAAGGTAGTCACTCCAAAACAGACCCTTCCTGGTAGAAAAATTGCAACCTCAGACAGACAGAAACAAAGTCTGAGTTTCTAGACTCAGACCGAGTCTAGAAACTCCCCCCAAAGAAAACAAGCTAACAAACAATGTGTTATCACACCTCTCGCCGCTCAGTCGTGTCGATACCCCCCCCCCAGGAGGGAGGTCCTGACCCACTAAGCCAGCTGCAGACCATTAGTTTGTCGACTGAAGTTAAACAAGGTGGATGTCTACTCTGGTCTCAGTTACCTGACAGGCTTTTCACCAAGGTGGTGGTTCCTGCTGTGCATTGGTGCCATGACTAGAAGTGTGGCACTAAGGGCTGTGTGCACTTGGGGCTCCATTCCCTAAGTGCCCTGTGAGTACACCCATTGGGTCTCGGGGTTATCTTCCCTGGGTCTTTCGGGCTCCCACTCCCATAGAGGTAGTGGTTGCTTGGCTTCTGCCTCGCCCTTGGGGTCAGCTTTGGTCTTGATGCTTTTGTCTGACCCTGGGTAGGGAGTGGTTGTTGCTGGTTGGCACACACTGTGCTGCATTGCTTGCATTACTGCAGCAGCCGTGCCTCTTTCTGGTCCCCTGGGTTGTGGTACTTCCTTGGGGTTCTTTTTCCTACTTTTAGTTTACTTTATTGCCTGTTGGGAGGCTGCCGGGTTTCCTGTTAGGTGATACCTAGGTTCAGTAGGGCAGTCCTCCTCTGATCCTCTGAGGATGCTCACCTCACAGAGGCCAGTTTGCCCAGATAACATACAAGGTTACAACTGGCTTTGGCAGCACCAGTGCCTGGACATCCCGTAGGAATACATCCCCCTGCGACGGGCTTTCGGAAAGTTTCCGTGGGTTATTGATGCTTGGGGTGCATTGTGTGTTGAGTCCGGTTACAGCTTTACGCCATTACCTTCATGCCTCGGCTTCTGTGTCTGGGGACGTGCTTTAGGTTGACCCTGAATCCCTTGTTCCCTGTTCCAGGGCTCGGGTTTCTCTGGTCGTCCGCAGGGTTATTAAATCTCGCCAGCCTGCGGTCTACCCTCGTGCCCATGGTGTTCGGAAGTTCGCAGCTTTGGATGCTGTGTTTGGAAACATGTCTTGGGCTGACATTAGAGCACGGGGGTTTTGTAGATCAAACAGGGTCCTGGTTGCCTGTTATCTTGTTAATGTGCTGGGCCCTCAGCAGTCTTGAGTCAGCGGTTGCTGCCAGTTGTCTTTTCTTCATTATGAGTTATGCGGTGAAGCCGCCTCCCAGGTAAGTCCCTCTTTACCTGCTCTTTTGGTAGTTAACTCCAAGGAGAAGACGGGGCTTCCCCACAGAAAACCGGCGTTGAATATAATGAAACGCCATTTTCTGGATAGAGCCCCGGAGGTGGTACCCGTTCACTAGACTATATTTATTAATTTGTTATAAATATGTGTAAAAGCTATATTCTCTTTTAATTGAATAATGTATCAAGTTTTAAATTTTATTTTTGTCCCCAACAGTACCCTGACTGGCTTGCTGACCACCGTAGCACTTTGTCCGAGGAAGATTTCACACGATACAATAAGCAGTATGATATTATGAAGCAGGTGAGGGCATGAACTTAGTCCTATAAGAGAGTAATAGAGTTAAGTTTGTGAACAGAAATTATAGGTGATTGCAAGAGTAGATGGAGATAAGTTACAAGTAAGTCATCTTTGTAAGTACAGTAATAGAAATATAATAGCACTCACTTAATTCATTATTCATATACAGTATTCAAATTTGTTACATTATTAATGTATAGCACATGTTCTAATTTTGTAAGTACATACTGTATTCTCAAAGGCTACACTCTGTGCTAGGAATATTCATACACTTGTGAGTAAATGCTTTGGACACTAGTGGTATATAAATCTGAGGTATAGGTTCACTAAGAAAAACAAGTATTGGTCTGTACTCAGCCCTAATTGATCTAGGTTAATGCCTGTCATAATATGTAATGAAATCTCTAGGTTAAGCTAATAACAGTTGGCATTTGCTTGAAATACAATTAAAAATGTAGAAATGTTTATGAAATAGAATTAAAAATGTAGAAATGTTTATGAATAAATCGAATGAGTTAGTCTTAAGTATTAGGAACAAATAGGCAGCTCATCACTTTAGCAGAGGTTAGCAAATGAGTGTTTGTCTTTGGCAGGTTGTAGAGCTGTACGAGGAAGAGCAGGAGGATGACACAGATGAAATCAAAGGGCAACGGTTTGAACGTATCATGCAGAGCATGCAGAAAGTATGTACAACACTTTTTGTTTTTCTTAATATTGTACTGGTATTTTATAGGATTCATGTTAATTTTAAATAATTGTAACAGACACAGTCTGGTGATCAGCTCATTGTTTAACTTAATTATAGGTTGAGTTGAGGGCTTATTATTGTATATATATGCTCTTCAGGATCTTTCACCATGGAAGTAAAGGTGGAAACATTTCTTGTCTTCATTCATACTCCATTTACCTTTCATTGGCCATTTAATTGTAAGCTGTTCCCATGTTGGGTGGTTTTGTTGTTTATTTTCATTATCTATTGGTATACATGTTATGTCCACTTATACCTGTCCTATGTATATGCATGTACTCCATAATACATATATATGCATATACAAAAATGGCAAGGAAAAACCCATGAACCCAGGAGTGACAAAAGTGGAGTGAAACAGGTGACCAAGCACCAACATACCCTAAGCCAAGGAAAAGCTATAGAAACAAAAGTGGTAGAAGTCTCTGGGAAGGAGTTAATGTTGCTTCTTAAAACAAGACCTGTGGAGGACCTCCCATCCCCAGTCTGGAACTGACCAACAAGGAAGCTGGAGACCGTGCAGTGACCTGCAAACCCATAGCAAGCCCTTGACTTGGAAGAACTTGAGGGAAAGTGTAAGCCAGCATTAGAACTAGAGACAGAACACATGGTCACAGCAAATCCCCCAAAACTAGTTAACACTAATCCACTCTAACCAGTGGGCTCTGCAGAGGGGTCAAAACGCAATGCTTTACTGGAGACATTGCATAGCTATCTCTAAGATGCCAAGTAAGATTTGGGTATATATGTCTGAAACTTCTATGGGTCATTTCAAGCTGGATTGAGCATAATTTCAACCTGCCTCGAGCAAGAACCTAACCATGGGAATAGTAAGAACTTGCTTTAGGAAGCAATCAAGTGAAATAGCTCAGAAATGAGATACAGATTTGGTTATTTGCATGTTGCCTAACAGTAGACACTGGGTACTAGGGGTGTAAATTATCATTAGGTTAATGGAAATGACTTATTGATTAGTTGGTAAAATCAAGCACAATGACCTTTTACACTTCATGTATCCAGCCTCTACTGTAGGTGGAAGACAACTGGTAAATGGTAAGTTTAGAACAAACCCATTTTTAATATAAAACTGTACATAAGAATGAAGGTAACTGCAGAAGGCCTATTGGCCCATATGAGGCAGCTCCTATTTATATCCACCCAATTTCATTCATATATATGTCTAACCTATGCTTGAAACAATCTAGGGATCCTACTTCTATTATGTTACTCGGTAATTGGTTCCACAAATCAACAACCTCGTTACCGAACCAGTATTTATCCAGGTCTTTCCTAAATTTAAACTTATAACAAGTATACCCTTTGTTTTGTGTTGATATTTTTAATACCCTATTAATACCCTTTGTTACTCCCATTCATCTACTTGTACACCTCTATCATGACACCCCTAATTCTTCACCTTTCTAGAGAATGTAAATTAAGCTTTGTCATTCTTTCTTCATATGACAGGATTCTAATTTGCCGGATTAACTTTGTCATCCTACATTGTTTGCATTCTAGTGAATCTATATCCATTCTATTGTATGGGGACCAAAACTGAACTGCATAATCTAAATGATTCAATTTCACATTATTGGGGCCCTAACCAGAGCAAGATATAGCTGAAGAATAACACCAGGTGTTTTATTACTAACGCTTCGAGAAATAAATCCCAGTGTCCTATTTGCCTTATTACGAACATTTATGCATTGATTTTTGGGTTTTTAAATTCTTGCTAATCATAACTCCCAAGATCCCTTTCACAATCTCAACATCATCTAGCTCGTTTTTCATCATTACTCATCATTACCTAATCTCAAAACCTCAAAATAGTAAATTTATATAAAAAAACACAGCATGTGTTGGCCATTCTGGTTTCATGCTGGATAAGAATTTCAAACTCCAAAGAAATTTTAAGTGATGATAAAGTTATTAGAATTTATAAAAAAAAATAGCTTGGAAAATATAAATATGATGCAATAAAAATTAATTATATGATCAAATTAATTAAAAAAAAATAGAGAGCTATATTATCATTCTTCCCATAGCTGCAGGAAATGGGTCAGCCTCCACAGGAGCTTGTTGGTGAGATGGGTCCTATACTAAATTTTGATGAGGCTGGAAATTCAGTGCTGCCGGACATGTCTACACTCCTTGGGGCCGCCGGTTTCCCCGGAGGAGCAGCGACCACTGATGATCCACGTCCAGCAGGAGCTCCAGACCAACAGGCACCAGGAGAGCAATGTACTCTCATGTGATAGGGGTAGTTGCAAAATCTGTACCCTCATGTGATGGGCACAATAACTGTGTTTACCCTCAAGTAATGGGTACAATGACTCTGTACTCTTGTGATGGGTGCAATGACTGTGTATCCTTCGGATGGGTACAATGATTGTGTATCCTTATATTGAGTACAATGACTGTGTCCCCTTATGATGGGTACAATGACTACGTTTACCCCTCATGTGATGGGTACACCGACTACAGTACTTTCTAATTAGTCTATCTTTATCCTTTGCTGCCATGTTCCTTCTAAAAAACATGCTAATTAATGTAGGAAATTTCTTGATTTTAGAAAAGTACTTCACAGTTTTTAGAAAGTTTAATATTTGCTGCTCTTTAGAAGTTCAAAGCTTCTGAGATTATGTTGAATAGTGGTAGATGCTTGCATATATATATAGCTTTGGTGTAATTTAAATAATATTGAAGAGCAGTCTGATGCTTGTGGATAAAATTTTTTTTACTGGATTCTTACACAGATATATTTAGTAATTATTGTATGTAGCTATTTGTTTAAGTGTTTCGTAGGATTTTCTTTTTAACTGCTATATTTTCAGTGCCTCTGTCCATTTGAAAATTACCCATCCTTGAAAAGATGACCTTGTATGGAATCTTCTCAAGACAAATATTTCAGATGCCTTGCAAAATTACTTTAAAAAGAGTTTCTTGAAACACCTGCCAAAGAATTTCCATTGCCAACACGTTTCCTACACAAGCAAAGCAGTCATGGTTCGAGTCCACGGAGAAATGAAAATGTATGAGAAGAATAAAGATTGTTTGAAAAAGCATTTAAGAATTGGAGACCTATTAAAAATCACAAGCAAGATTAAAGTGAGAAAGATAGTATTAGAGGGTAATAGTATTCATTGCAAGGGCAACAGCACAGTGGAAAAAGTGTTGTTCACCAAGACCGCTCATGTGATTATTAGTCAAAAGAAAAATAATATAAGAATATGCCTAAAAGCACATTAAACCTATGTTATGCATCTGATGAATATTAGGATTGTTTTACATGCCTTGGTCACTATGAAAGTCTATTGTCTCCAGTAATTAGAATGGTAAAACTGGTCATAACATGCCAGGTTCACTAACCACAATTGATGGTTTGCCTTTCCATGCTCATTTTTCCCCCAAAATTGTGATTTATTCAGTCTTTAATATTAGCTTGTAAATAGAGAGCCACACACAAATGTTTATATAAAAATTTAATTCTTAAAACTGATGCTTCATTAATTTTAATATGCTCTATCCTACATTCATGGATATTTGAATTTTTTATGCAGTGGAGCACAAATTATGATGAGGGTTGCTAGAATATTTACTAATTTTCATATAATCTCAGAAGCATCTTGACATATACAGTGGCTGGCATTTACCCAAATGTAGTTCAAGAATAAGAGCTACACTTGTGGTGTCCTATCTTCCCTATAATGTTTGTCACATGACATTTAGAGGCTTCAAATAGTTTTATCATATGTTGCCCTATTATTTAAATTGTTCCATCCATATACCACTATTTGTAAACGAGTATTTATACAAGTTTTTTTGGAACGTTTTGCTTGAGTTTATGTTCTATTCTCAATGTTAGATTAAAGAAATGAATCCTATTCTGTTATATAATCTTCAAGTAGTAGATTCTATATATTGTTTTGCTTATTGCATGCGTTTTATATACTGTATATAAAATTTTACTGAGGTGTGTGAGAAGATGGTTAAAAATGTGTGGAAAAAATTAGTTATGGTGGGTGAAATAATTAAACTGTGTGAAATGAATGCCAGAGGGCCATGTTAGATTCAGCCAGAGGGCTGCATCTAATATGAATGGATGAGAAATAAAGGTGTGGTATGAACATGAAAATTCAAGAATTAGTTCAGCAAAAATTGACAAGTTGAGAAGCGTGTGTGGTGCTAGGGCATTAGATAAAATACAAAATAAAATGTGTAGTACAAAAGTCAATAAAATGTAAGATTTAAATTAAAATTGAAATAGGTTTCATATAACTATATTTCAAATGATAATGTAGTCAAGCAATATTGTTCAAGACAACTTCAGCATATATTTTATGTAGACATCACAAAAACTTTTCACGTTCAGAGTAAAAAAGTGTACAGTATTACTTTTCTACCTGTATATGGGTAATAGTAGTCAGAATGTACACTCAAATACATGCACAATTACTGTACCGAAAAATACATATACAAATGAATATACAGTATACTCATAAACATAGATACAGACTATAGACAGACATACAAATAGGTTAATTATTTACATTCTTGGTGCAAGTTTCCTGCAGTATATTTATCCAGAATATCATCACTCTCTCTATTGACACGTCATCACTATTTGCTCAGGAACAGTCCATATCACACATGCATCAGTGTTCACCCACAAACATAATAAGTCAAAGAGCAAAATCTAAACATACTTCATACTCTATCATACTATACACCTTTTTTCAATACAGTAACACCAATTTTGTATTCCTGGTAATATGTTATTTGTATTCAAGTCTGAGCCATGTGTACCGAGAAACTCCAAGCAGTTTGGCCTTGTTTTCCAAACAAATATCAATGTTTTGACTTCTGCTTGTACTAGCACATTCCTTATTTTACTTTTTTGTTTATTTCATGATTAAATTAACATTCAATTTATATAAATTTCTGATCTTTTTGTAGCACATTTTTCCAGGACATTAGCTACTTATTTAAACATGAGATGACATCTACATGACATCTATCAACAAATATAATGCAACCTTCTCTGTCTTGCCACACTGTACTAATGAGTTTATTAGACAGAATGTCTCCTATAAGGTAGACTAGCTTGCCAAGATGCTTTACCTCACTTAGAACATTAAAGATACTGGTCTGTATCCACTATTTGGCCTAGGTATAAGAATGGTTATAGCTCCCATTTCTGACAACTTTCACTGCCTTGTGTTAAAAGAAAAAGTAAGGGTCTAAAATATTGATCCCAAATAAACAATTAAGAATGTCATGTTCACTTCTTGAACATTTTCTCTACTTCTTGTTTTGAGTACATCACCTTTTAAGTATTTTGAAGGGAAATAATCAATATCTTCTTATCAATACCTTCCATACTGTTATTTACCTTGGAGTGGTGAAAAGGAAGTCATGTAGTGCGAGTACAATATTATTTGGATTCCTTATGAAGGTTGAGCAATTGGTATCAAATATCACAACTGGGTAAGAAAAGAAAACCTTACATGGTAAATGCAAGCAGCACACTTGAAAGATTGGGGAGAGCAACCACAGATGGTTTGAATGTTGAATGAATGGGAGACTGGTAAAGAGTGTACTGGTGTTTTAAATGAATTTAAGGGTAAGAGAAGGAAAGTGGGGACAGGAAAATATATGGAGACATGGTGGGTGTAAAGAAGCGAGGGAACTATCAGGAGAAAGCATCAAGCCATTATGAAGAAGCTTGGAGTGAGTGTAAAAGCACATGGTATGGCAAGGAGGAAGTCGGGTTGCTTGGCAGTGTACAATGTATGGCGATTCAAGACCACTTTAGAGTGACCGTATGAAGTGATGAATATGACTGGAGAGTGGTGGTAAATGTTTATCCGTGATGCTATACAATAGTGTGAATGATACAATGAATGGAAGTGATATTTGTCTTGTTTAAGATCTACAACCTTTCCTAAAGTAGTCATCTTTTTTCTGGGCTGATGCCTCCCTGCCCCATAAAGTGGGAAACACTGTAATGATGATGAGTGTACATATTTGTCTTGTATTATTATTATTCAAATTTGGACCCAAATCTGCAGCCATTGTATTAACAATTTCACTGTCAAATTTATATAAAAAAGTAACATCTCATGTATTGCAAACATTTTCACTTTCAGATAATAAAACCAAATATTGCTTTACTTTTGTAACAACAAAAGTGCAATTTTTATGAAGCAAGACTGATATTTAGCTGAAGAATGTGTTCTTAAAAATTTATGCAGATAAAATTTTCCTTCCATATCTGTCTTGTAATCACATTCTGAAAGTTATATAATTATTTGATGATTTTACATTTTTCGTATTTCTGTAGTGCTATAATACTTGTGGAGTGAACCTTCTACATGAAACCATGAGTGGCAGTTTTCTTTATCAAATTATTTTTCTTTAAGAGGACCAGATAATAAAGTGCATAGTTACATCATTTTTTAAACATAATCATTAGATTTACTAAAAAAAAAATAGCATGATAAAAGCTAGAGAATAATTTTGTTGCCAAGTACTGTATACAGTTAAAGAAAAAAGGAGGCGGGGCTTTATGAAACTTGAGTGAATTTTAATTTTGGATAAATATTTAATGACTGAAGACATTAAGTGGTAAAGCTTTTTTTTCTAATCAGTGGAAACATTTGAATTTATGTACATTTAATTAAAAGTAGAAGGCAGCCATATCACTTAAGCAAAAGTTATTATAACCAAAGCCTCCCTCTCCTAGCAAAATGCTTACATCTTGTGCCCTTATTCTTCTCACGGAACAGTGCAAGCTCCAATAGCTTACAAATGTTCCTGAATATAGTAAATTTTATTCTTATAATTAGAACGAAGCTTCCTTACAGCAGTATTACAGAGCCTTGCAATTCTTTTAGGAATATTCTGAAGTGTTACCTTATTATTTTGTTTAGAATGTTCTTAAATCTGCTCAAGAATGTTGTATGATCCAGCCTCTTCCTTTCCGATTCCTTCTTTTGGTAATTAATTACTTCCTTTGAGATTGCTAGTCATGTTAGAGACTTCTCATGTGTTACTTAGTTGCTATAAGATTTTGTAGATTCCATTATTGAATTACCAAAGTGATGAAGTATCCTACCATTAGTAATGTGCATTTTTTTTTTATGTTCTACCGTTATGTGCATATATTTATTTAAAGTTTAATAATTTGAATCTTTACTAAACTATTAGGAAACACAAATATGTAGAATCAGATAAATAAATTGAAGGATAATACACCAAGGATCCTCTGCACTCTGTACCTTTAAAGTTATGCTTGGACGGAATTTAAACGAGACCCCTTCTAATGCATAAAAACTGTTGCATCTAAATTTGAATTTTAGGCATAGAAATTGCATTTTTTTTATCTACAAACCAATAGGCATTGTGTATACCAAAATTATATACCAATTTTTAAACCACTGCATGCATTACAGTTGATGACGGTGCCAGGAACATGCTACTATCAGCTTTCCACTCATTTGTGTAATGGTTTGTAACCAAACTAGAATGGAATCCTACAAATCATTTAGATTTCCAGTTGGCTTGGCTTTGTTAAAGTAGGACTTTCCAAGCTGTTGATGAGCAGAGAACAATATACAGTAGTAATCAATTACATCCAGACCATAAAAATATGTACTACTAAAATCTCTCTTTTACTCTTTCTGTATTCAGAGTATATGTACTGAACTTTTTTCACATTTCTATTGTGATTTTCACTTTACAGGAATTTTCAGTTTAAAGTTAGGGGTAATTAATTAAATATACAATAAATATGGTTCATTTAATTGAAGATTCAGCTTACAATATAGTATTTACCAACCTTTCGCATTTTTTTTTAAATAAGCAAGATATTAAATGGAAAAAGCCAGGCCATTTCTACTGCTTATAGAGTGGGTCTTGGTCACACATGAAAATCCTCCATACTCATAATCTTTGTTTGCAACCAAAGCAGTCAAGCTCCTACACATTTGTGCTCTCCAGGATACATTTTTAGTTTTGGGATTTCAGGCAACATGAAATTTAGTATAATTATTTTGATAATTGTGTGCAATTTCCTAAATTTCACCTGCAAAACAAGTTCTCTTGGAGATATGGTCCACCATACCAAAGATTATAGATGGCAATTATAATGGAGTGTCAAGTTATAAAATAATTATTAACTTTTTAAGTATCCGTCTTAAAAAAACGACAAAAAACTTGGAATTAGCATTCAACAAGATTGTTATAAGGGTTTAAACTTAGTGCAGTAACTTGCATATGCAAGTACAGTATTGACAAGGTTAAAAAAAAATGACTTAATAGTCAAAGCAACATAATAGGTGTTGGTCTTTGATTCTTATATAGTGTTCCTTGCCTCTTTAATACGGGCGGTTCCTTGTGTTGCACGTTAAGCTATCCTCTCAAATATTAAAATGTTATTAAGTGTATTTTGTTTTCAGCTTTGAAGTTGTAATTTGTACATAGTGTAAAATAAATTTTTTACACACCTTATGCACTATCATTCCCATATTAAATTATTGTAATTATGGCTTATGAAAGAAACTGTAATGTTTATAATTTATTAATAATTCATCATCAACTTACTATATGTGAAAATACTGTATATACAAAGTGTCTTAATATACACTATTCAGTGGGTTCTTCATCAGGAATGGTCTCTAGCCCCTGTAAAAACAAAAGCATAAATGAGAGTCATACATACTAAATCTCCAGTACATGTGGCATATGCCATTATCCAAGCATTAATATGCCCATATGCCAGGATGGTTTGTCACACATTGCTTTATTAATGTTCTTCCACAGAAATGGTCACCCAGTTACACTTAAAACTAGCATACAGTACAGTATATTCATTTTTGTTTGTCCTTCATAGGCAAGGTTGAGAAAGCTGTTGTACTATGGAATACAGTATAGTAGGTTATGGAGCACTGTATTACAGGTGATTACAGTACTATACAACACTAAATTTTTCAACATACATAAAATCTAATGTCAGGCAAATTATTAATATTTAGAAAATTAACTACAGATTGAACATATAGGATTGAACAAGGTGCACAGATGCAACTACAGGAGAAAAAATAAACAACTCACGAGTGGTCTAAAAGGGTTGCCACTGAGGCGCCCATCCCTCAAGAACAGAAATCTTTGCCGTTCATTTACAAGCTCTCGCTGGTAGATCTGCATGATAAATATAAACACATGATTAAATTATTTCCAAATAAACAAAGTTTATTAATAAAAATGAGAAGCTTAACTTTGATGTGTTTTGATCTTAGCAGATAAAAAAAGATACCTCCTAGGCCAGTACATCTCGGAATACAAACCGATTGATGTAATAATAGTGAGCGCATGAGTATAGGGAATATAATATTATTAAAGGGAATATATGAGTTTAGTTTAGATTGGTGTAACGAGTGCTGGGTGCTGCACGAGTGAAATATAGTGGTATGGTGTAGATATTATTAGAGATATCAATATGAGTGCAAAACGCAGACAGGAAATGTCAAAGTAACCTGACTTGGCCTAGCAGAGAAATTTCCCACTACCTGCTTTGGTAGGAGGAGGAAGGCCACAAGAAAAGGCTGCATTTGATATGAACAAATGTAAGTACAGTACTACCTATGCATCTCTCTCTCCAATTGTGGATTATGATGATTTGCTATATAATATTTAGTTTTAACCATCAAAATAATTAAAAAGGAAATATTGAAACTGAAATTTGTTATGTAAATGTTTGTAGTAAATTTAAATTAATAATTAAATGGGTAAATAACTTATGAGTTAGGCAAGAATACCAATTGTAATACAGTACTAGCTTAACATTTGTGGACAATAAATGGTAATACAATAACAAGTTTTACCCTTGAATAGCAGCTAACTGCTAAGAAAAAGGATTGCGAATAAGGGAATTGCTGTAATACACTTTAGCTTCTAGACGAGATTAGGTAGTGCCAATGTTTAATGGGGTTCATCTAGATGAGTCAACAGCAGTTCTTGGATGTTGTGATTGTAACACGGGTACGGAGTAATGGCTCTCTCTTGTCCACTACCCTGCCCGTAAATTAAACTTAACCTTAAGACCCCAGAGCTAGCTCTCAGCTAAGTCCACACCACGTGATCTCAGGTGATTGACCACCTTTAGATTCTACAGACACGTAACGTCGAATTAGGTTTTCCTAGCAACTCAAGGATATTTGTTTGCTGCCACCACCAAACCAAAAACCAATGCCATTAATTGGGGTTTGGGCCAATTAATTAACCATTAAGCCTTGGGGTAGGTTATCCTCAATATCATGGAACGGGAGGTATTAGTTTACGTTAAGTGTGGAATTTAAGTACATACAAGGGAATGTATTTAATTGTAAGAGGGGCTAGGCTTGCTCACAATATGGTTGAATAATGGCTTAGCCCAACAAAGCAGACTCGTGGAGACCACGGCAAAGACAATCGTGTATAAATTGGAACAATTCAAACATACCAATACTATACTAATTTAAAACAAAGTTTATTTATAAAAAGCTAAGAAAATGTAAATAAAATAAAAATTACTCCCTAATTTAACACTTCCTAACTTATTATTCCCTACTGAGGCAAGAATGAACTATTTACCTCTACTAAACTCTCAAAGCACTTTACCATGAAATTTCTAAGTCCTGCTGCTGCTGCTCTGGCCTTCAGAGGTAAGATGGTGACCTACCAGAGACTTGATCCACACTGACTGGCCTCTCTGTCTCTGGACAGTGAAGCCGACTAATATCAATCCGCCCTGCTTCCCAGGTTATCAATTACCAAGCAAGGGTTAATTTAACTAATCTTAAATTTTCTAGCCAACCCAAAAGGTTGAATTATTATTAAAACTGGTGGTAAATAAATTAGACATCTTGGCAAAAGCTATATCCAATTACAATATTGGCTAGTGACCTGCATTTTGTACTTTATGAATTGAATAATATGGGAAGTTGTGGTATGTCGGACGCCTTACCCTTGACCCAGGTCAGGTCGAGTACGCCGTTTGACGAACTAGTACCCTCCCTACTGACATTACTTCCTTTGTGCCAGTATACGGACTCTGATCTTTTACTCTACATACATGTAACTTAACATACATGCTTAAAAACCAGGTTAGTTATTACTGTAATTATTGTATTTATGGAATAATTCATTACTTGTTGAATTAAAACAAAAGACACAGCCATCTTGTATTCTACGTGCTAATCCTTAATCTCTGGAGAGTTGACCCTTCCTAGCTTCTCAGGTAACGGGTACCCTGTGACTGAGTTGTACCCACGTGGTTCAAATTTGATGTCTGCTTTCTAATAAATAATTTCTACAAAAAAAAAAAAAAACTAGTTTGTTACATGTGTATATACTTGAGGCTTGTATTGCAGTCCCTCCAAGGTTGACCTACTCGCCACCCCCAGGCTGCGACCCCACGACAGTTGCCCAACTCTCAGGCACCTATCTACTGCTTGGTGAGAAGTGGCATTAGGTGAAAGGAAACTTGCCCAAACAGTTCTATCCCACCTGGGAATTGAACCCAGGATTCCTGATTGTGAGTCAAGAATGAAGCCAACTGTACTTTAAGACTGAATGGGGGGAAGTAGTGGTTCGGCACGAGGGTATGGTCGTTGCCTTGTTAGAATCTGACCAGATTGTCAATTGGGTTAACCCATGTGTTGCGTTTCCACAATGGTCGCCCAAGTTAAAATAGGTGAATGCCCCAAGAACATCGTTGAAAACATCTTTATAACTTATTAAACCAAAAATGCAAAGTTTTTTAACGTTAGGTTAGGTAAGGTCAGTGTTTTACTACTGTGCCATGTGGACTTCATATCTATGGGGAAATTTTGAACGTTAAAATTGGCATTTGCCGATTTTAACTTGAGCAACCATTGTGGAAATGCAACACATGGATTGACCCAATTGCTACATGGGTCAGATTTCATTATGGTTCGAAACAAATACATTGTAGCAAGGTTTTTATATTATCAAATAATTACAACATAAGTTGACAGTGGTAATTACACTGATAAGAATATACTGAATGTCTTAAATACTAATATTGGGGAAGTGGGGTAGTACAAGATAGTGAGAGTTTGAAACACAAGGTAGGAAACTATGAAGATGAAATTAGGTACTTTTTTAATTTACTTTTGAACAGTGTATAGGGTTGGACAATTTTTTTAATTCACAAGGGAGAGCATAGTATGTACAGTACTTGCTTTATCTAGAAATCCAACAATCTGTTTGTAACTCATCTTTTATGTACTTTTACTTAAATAAACATTTATGTATTTATTTTTTATTATTCATACTATGTACTCAAGTACTGTAATGTAGTGGGGGCCATGGGGGGGGGGGTTGAAGGCTACTTTTATTTATTTATTTATATACAAGAAGTTACATTGGGGGTTAACAGAGAATATAGAAAATAAGTTGAATTAACACTCTTGTACAGCCACTAGCACTACCACCCACAATGGGTACGGCTCAAGACCTTCAGAACCTCATGTCGTACTACGCCACTGTTACTTTTAAACAAACTTAACCTAACAATATATCCATTCTTGACAATTAGAAAATGAATATTTGTGAAACGGCCGAGACCGACACGACCAAATGACAAGCTCTCTACGGCGACTCCTGCAACCCATCTTGGTCTTATACTTACGTTGTTATACACCAGCTTATGGATTAAGACATTTGCTATAGCAGGAACTCCAAGACACCCCGCGACCAGAAGAAAGCTGGGAATTATGTTGAACCACATCTTGGAACGACCCTCAGACGGCTGCTGGAGTCAGTGTTGCCAGGTCCAAATTGCTGAAAGTAGCGAGCTGACGGTCAGAAAGTAGCGAATTTGTAATAAGAGTAGCCCAATTATTTTATTAATATTATTTCTGAACACACACACACATATATATATATATATATATATATATATATATATATATATATATATATATATATATATATATATATATATATATATATATATATATATATATTAGTATATTTTGGTAGCAGTCTTTCCTGTAGACATATATTATTAAATATGACCGAAAAAGTTAGATTAATAATTCTAACACGAATTTTTTCAATCTTTCGTACATTTCTTTTCACTGTTGGAGGTAAATCAAAAATCAATTGTCCAAAATTCATTTTTATTTCTAGTCTGACGCGACACGAGCGCGTTTCGTAAAACTTATTACATTTTCAAAGACTTTAATTTACAAATACACAACTGAATAGAACTTACGCATCTCCGATTTTATATCTACATTTGAGTGAGGTGGATGGGGTGAGGTGGCATTAATAGGGTATTAATTTCATCAACACAAGACAGAACAAGAGGTGGCATTAATAGGGTATTAATTTCATCAACACAAGACAGAACACGAAACAATGGGTATTGAATAGAAGTGTTTGTAGAAAGCCTATTGGTCCATATTTCTTGATGCTTCTATATTGGAGCGGAGTCTTGAGGTGGGTAGAATATAGTTGTGCATTAATTGGCTGTTGATTGCTGGTGTTGACTTCTTGATGTGTAGTGCCTCGCAAACGTCAAGCTGCCTGCTATCGCTGTATCTATCGATGATTTCTGTGTTGTTTACTAGGATTTCTCTGGCGATGGTTTGGTTGTGGGAAGAGATTATATGTTCCTTAATGGAGCCCTGTTGCTTATGCATCGTTAAACGCCTAGAAAGAGATGTTGTTGTCTTGCCTATATACTGGGTTTTTTGGAGCTTACAGTTCCAAGAGGGCATTTGAAGGCATAGACGACGTTAGTCTCTTTTAAAGCGTTCTGTTTTGTGTCTGGAGAGTTTCTCATGAGTAGGCTGGCCGTTTTTCTGGTTTTATAGTAAATCGTCAGTTGTATCCTCTGATTTTTGTCTGTAGGGATAACGTTTCTATTAACAATATCTTTCAGGACCCTTTCCTCCGTTTTATGAGCTGTGGAAAAGAAGTTCTTGTAAAATAGTCTAATAGGGGGTATAGGTGTTGTGTTAGTTGTCTCTTCAGAGGTTGCATGCCGTTTCACTTTCTTTCTTATGATGTGTTCAACGAAACCATTGGAGAAGCCGTTGTTGACTAGGACCTGCCTTACCCTACAGTGTTCTTCGTCGACTTGCTTCCATTCTGAGCTGTGGCTGAGAGCACGGTCGACATATGCGTTAACAACACTCCTCTTGTACCTGTCTGGGCAGTCGCTGTTGGCATTTAGGCACATTCCTATGCTCGTTTCCTTAGTGTAGACTGCAGTGTGGAAACCTCCGCTCTTTTCCATGACTGTTACATCTAGAAAGGGCAGCTTCCCATCCTTTTCCATCTCATAAGTGAAACGCAGCACGGAACTCTGCTCAAACGCCTCCTTCAGCTCCTGCAGATGTCTGACATCAGGTACCTGTGTAAAAATGTCGTCAACATACCTGCAGTATATATATATATACTGCAGGTATGTTGATATATATATATATATATAGGATATATAGATATATATATATAGATGCGAACAAGCCTGAATGGTCCCCAGGACAATTTATATATATATATAGATATATATATATATATAGGATATATAGATAT